CGTTGCGTTAGGATTTATTTCGTTAAAGTTCAATACTGTGCATGTTGTTTGACATTCCTAACAGAACCCAACAACTGTATCAGAGCCCATGCTTAATGCAAACTCGTGCACAGTTTGAATTTTGGACTTTGCCTGTCTACATGAATTATTTGCGTACGGACGCAGCGTCATAGTAGATGAAAATTTGCAATAAGTTTTTGCAGGAGTTTTGAATCCGATTATTGTGGCCCGTATGTATGGATTTTAATTTATGTTGAATGTATGCTGTTTTTAAAGCCTTGGACATGTCAAGGAATTTTTGGGTTGGTGAATGATTGTAATAAATTATTCGCGCGATGGGACACCGCATAGTTTATTGCTTTCATAGAAACTCATGTACGACTCTTGCGTGGGACCAACCTTGACGGGGCAAGGCGATATACACGTACACAGATGCCATGGTGATGATCCAATGGCGACTTTCCCGGAGACGACCAATTCAGTGGGAGTCACTGCGAAAGAGGGAGTTCCAATACTTGAAAGAGGAGTATGCTCGGTAGAAAAAAGGCTGACGAGATGGAGAAGTGTTATATCTTTCCATCTTTGTCAAATGTACATCAACATCAACATCAGTCTATGAACACTGCAGCGGATATGCTACTCAATCTCAAGGAGTTATTTGGTCATCAGTCACGGGCTGCCCGACAAGAGGCCATGAGGGTTCTGATGAACATGACCATGCGCGAGGGCACTCCCGTAAGGGAACATGTTCTTGCTATGATGGCCCAACTGAATGAGCTGGAGGTTCTTGGGGCTTTTGTTGATGGCAAAACCTAGGTCGATATAGTGCTCCAGTCTTTGCCGAAGAGCTTCGAGCAATTCCGGTTGAATTATAACATGAATAAGATGTTGATGACTCTTCCGGAACTTGTTGCTGAACTTCAGTCGGCAGAGGGACTGTTTCGTCAGAAGACCCAAGCTATGTTGGTCCAGCGGGGAGAAGCTTCCACTTCTAAGGCTCCTAAGGGCAAGAAGAGGAAGAAGTCCGCAGGAAAGGGCAAGGCGGTCATGAGTGACGCCCAACCTCGACAAAAGGCGAAGAAGCCGAAAGGCAAGTGCTACAACTGTCAGCAGAA